GCCCGCCCACCCACCACGCCCAGGCCCACTTGCAGGCACCCTCCCAGCAGATGCACTTCCTTAATTTGCCAGGTAAGGCACCACAACGCTAAACACAGGTAAATAAAATATTGTGATGAAAACGGGAATTAATGTTATGGCTAGATATTTTTACAACCATGTCACCACAGATCTTTTTGTCGCTTACGTTTACCAGAACTTTTACCGAGTGTCCAAATTAAGACACGACAGTACGTTGGGTTGCGAATGCACTGGCTGCAGGGGCTGCAGACGTGGGGCGCTGGCGGGGGTGTGGTGGGGGAGCTGCCACTTCCCCATCACACGCCCGACGCCTGCCTACAACCCATGCACACTAAAGTTTCAAAATGACTGAATGTGATTAAAAGTGATTGGAACCGGTAGAAAAATGATTTAAAAATGGTGAATGAATTTTTGGAGGTGACTGAAAGTTGATTTAAAGACTGAAAATGACTGAAAATGTGACGGAATTCCCGTAGTGATTAGTGGGAGTGAGGGACTCCCCGCCCTACAGCCAGTGCATAGACAGTCCAGTGTGAGTGACAAAGAAATCCATGATGACATGGTTGTAAAACCTTTTAGTTGTAATATTCTATTTTTTATCACATTTTTTTTAGTAAAACGTGTGTGACATCCCGTAATTAAGAAGACCGGTTTCCAAGTGATTTCATATCTTTCGCACTTCCGATCCTACACGGTGGAGTACTGGCACTCTTTCCTACACTGATAAACTAAGTGTTCAACTGCTCAACACTTGTAAGTGTGCAACTGCAAGTTGAATACTTGCAACTCCCTAGTCGTACACTTGCAAGTGTTAAGCTCGGTAGACGTGCACTTGCAAGTTTGCAACTCCTCGGTTGCACACTTTCTTAGATTGGACGCTTACTGTGTAGGAAGTGTTCAACCGAGGAGTTGCACACTTGCAAGTGCACACCTACCGAGTTGCACACTTGCAAGTGCACACCTACCGAGTTGCACACTTGCAAGTATTTAACTTACAGTTGCACACTTAGAAGTGTTGAGCAGTTGAACACTTAGTTTATCACTGTATGTGTGTGTTTTTTGTTTTTTTTTAAATTATGGTCACACACTCTTTAGAGTAAATGTGCAGGTTGAACGCGGTGGTAGCCGAGTGCTGCGTGAAGTGTGTCCGGCTCACCACCCTCCTGTCCGCAGACGACGCCGCTTGTGGGGCCGGCGAGGACGCGCTGGGCTCCCCGTTGGGCTCCCCGCTCGGCCCGGGCCTCGGCCCCTACCGGGTGCAGCGGCACGCCGCCAACGTCCGAGAGCGGCGGCGCATGCAGAGGTCGGGTCCCGACAGACCGCCCGTCAAAATGTGAGCCAGGCTCAGTGTTGCCAACTCCCTGTCAAACTCAGGCTCAGTGTTGCCAATAGTAGCCGTCACCAGGTCATATGCGTCGGCAAGGGTCATCACCCATGCGCGAGCTTCTCGTCCAGAGTCTCTAAGTCTGAGCCCTCTCTCAACCCATTTTTCGACGATAATTAAGAAAAACACAGTTTTCGCTTACAGACCGCTGGTCGTGTTTTCAGCCAAAAGTGCAGGATTTGTCAAAAGCCAAATTTCTCTTTCCGATGACCTGGTGACTTCTTGCATGCAAATTTCTGGCAGCGCTGAGCTCAGCACACGGACGTATTTGTAGGATTGTCCCGTATCCTTAGAAACGAGGGGCCAATAACTCCGAATTTAAGCGTACACCTGATTCCCGCCCAAGGAGGAAAGCAAAGTCAGCATGACATCAAAATGACCTTTCAGGTCACTATGGGGGACCATTTTGAGGTCTTAGTTAGTGATGTCAAAATAGTTCCCTACATTGACCTGAAAGGTCATTTTTAAGTCATTTTGATGTCTTGCTGACTTAGCCTTCCTCCTTGGGCGGAATCCATGATTCCCCTTGATTCTCATTAATTCCCGTCGTGATTCTCATTGATTCCCGGTCCGGTGTACACTTGATTCCCAGTGCTATTGCCCTCTCGCTTAGAAATATGTTTTGTAGATATCTATTACATCTGTTTGTTGCTTAACTAATTCACTTGAAGAATAGTTCAATGTTACGAGTACGGTGTTTTTATAGTGTCTGGTAGTCGTTCATTAGAACATAAATAAAGGTGCCCCCACACTAAACGCATTCGTCGTGTTCGCGTTCGCCGTGTCCGCCTCTCTCTTGACAGGGGTTGTCAAGCAGACCGGACTTTCGCCCAGGAAAGCATGTTCTTGACCCCTGATTTCTCAAGATCATTTGCATCAGGGCAATTCAATTTTCATTTGCACCAATGTGATTTGCATTGGGACAAGACAATGTTCTCGGTTTAGCCGAACTCATTTACTTCACTCAAGAACACGATTTTTTGGGTGTTCCGCTATCGACAAGTTGGCGAAGGCTGACATTTGTCTGGGCGGACAGAGGCGGACATACGGCGGACGCCAACACACCGAAAAGCGTTTAGTAAACGCGGTCAGCTTAGGACCCAAAGCGTGCCTGGCATTTAGTTACACATCATGTTTAAACATCTAGATTAAATTTGGATTGTTTTCAGAGTTATGTGTCAGATCTCGCACTTTCGGCGGTCGCCGCCTGCCTGCACCGTGATAGGGATGGTGAGCGATGCCGAGCTGCTCCGGCGCTCGGCCGGGCCATACCAGGTGGCTGATTAACCCCGCACACTTCTGTTGTTAGACTGTACCGCACGCATTATTGCGGGCGGGCTTGCCTATCGCCCTTGTCCACGGCGCCTTACGGGCCGGGTGAGTAGGCAACCCGCCCGCACTCCTGCGTGCGGTACAAGCATACCTACAGAAGTAAGCGGGGTGAATCAGCCACCTGGTATGTGCCGAGCGCAGCGTGATACCATGATGCTACCATATGCTACGCTCGGCACATGCGCCGGCCGATCCTCGGAGCCACTCGGCAGCGCTCACTATGACTTGCGGCCCCCGCGTGTGAGACAGGCGGTGCAGGCAGGCGACGAGCGCCGAAAGTCCGAGTCCGAGCTCTGTTGTGTGTATAGTTGGCGCCTACTGCCGTCGTGAGGCGTGCGGTACCTGGCGGCACCTCCTCAGCCCGCAGGCAGTCGGTTAGGCCGCCCGGGAACACTCGTGCCCACCGGGTTGCCTATCCCGCAGTCCGCGGGCGCGCCGAGGTCGCGTACAGCCCCAGGGCCCCTGGTCAGTCGCGAGGGGTCGACAACTCGTGTTCTCCTGTGTACAATCCTTGACGTACTCCGAATGTACTCCGGGTGTACTCCGTGTACTCCGAGTACTCCGAGTACTCCGAGCGTCCTCCGGGTGAAATTGTGCTGTACTCCGGCTTACTCCGGATGTTTACTGGCGTACTCCTATGTACTCCGGCTCCGGCTTTGCTCCGACGTGTTACTCCAGCTGCACTCCGTGTACTCCGACTCCGACACCGTACACTAAAAAGTCGAGTGGTCGACTTCTCGGCGAGGAGGAAACGACTGTTAAACTTTGCGTCAGCCGGATTACGGATTATCCTCATTACCCTCTGGAGTATCCTCCGAAATTCCGTTGCTTTTTCTCTAAAATTACCCCGGATTACCCTAAAATTTCCCCAGACTACCCCGTTTTTTTTCGAATTTCCTCGGATAACACCCGCCAGATTACCTAACGGCTATCAGCCGGATTACCTTGGTCGTTTTCCCCCTCGCCCCACGGTCAGTCGTAAAGACCGGTTTGTGACTGAATTGGATACATCACCACTATGGTATGTCGTGCTCCCACCCGTCGGTACTCGGCAGTACTCAGCACGGCAGTACATGGTGTGCAACTGAATGTGTTATTATTGTCACAACCGACTCCACAGAACCAGATGTCTAGCAGTAATTAAGTACCTTAGCGTGGAAGTTTTGTCTTGCTATGCCAACCAGTGAGTCTTATGAGCAAAGGTTGCTGCTGCGCATTTGTTTTCAAATAAAGTAGTGATTGGGTTAGTCTCTGTCACGTGTCTGGCTGTAACGAGCTCTAATTACGGACGAGAATCCGCCTCAGGTCGACACCACCGCTCCGACTGACGGAATATTGGCTTTCAGCAGCATCAACTCTGCGTTCGACGAGCTGCGAGTCCACGTGCCCACGTTTCCGTACGAAAAGCGCCTCTCCAAGATCGACACGCTGCGGCTCGCCATCGCCTACATCGCCCTGCTCAGGGAACTGCTCACGGCCGACTGCGACCCACTCACCTACGTGGAGCGCACCCTACGCGGCGACACCCGCACCCCGGGGCCCGACCGCGCCGAATGGAACACAAGCGGTCAGTACAAGCCGAGCCGAGGGGTCGACAGCTAGCTAAGCACACGCTCCTGCACCCACAGGCCACGCACGGGAGCGTGCTCCTCGGGCTGCGGGTAGGGTTCAGATGTGCGGCGCAGGGTAGGGTGGCCCACGGCAAAAAAAAATTATCAGACCGGCGGTTAGATATTAAAGATCGAGATGACCCATGCTGTGGGCATTCCAAAACCGTCCCGTTCGTCCTGATCGGACCCCGGGAACCACTCGCTCAACGTCTTTTCATTTTAACATGGCTTTCTTATGGGCTTTTGGGTGTAAAATCGAAAAGCGACCCTGTAGAGTCAGAAAGTCACCATAGAGCAATATAATTATGAAATTCGTAATCTACGTTGAAAACTGAATCCGGCAATGTACCGTTCGTTACTGTAGCACTCAGTACCCAGATTTGCTGAGCTTTGAATTTTCACTCATTTTTCGAAATATGGAGATTTATGGCAGGTAGCAAATCTGGGTAATAGGTGGTACAGTAACGAACGCTGTATTGCCAGATTCAGTTTTTAACGTAGATTACGAATTTCATAATTATATTGCTCTATGGTGACTTTTTGACTCTACAGGGTCGCTGTTCTATTTTACACCCAAAAGCCCATAAGAAAGCCATGTTAAAATGCAAAGACGTTGAGCGAGTGGTTCCCGGGGTCCGATCAGGACGAACGGGACGGTTTTGGAATGCCCACAGCATGGGTCATCTCGATCTTTAATATCTAACCGCCGGTCTGATAATTTTTTTGCCGTGGGCCACCCTAGCGCAGGGGGTGCAGGGAGCCCCCTCTCCTCCTCCCCGCTACCCTCCGCCGCAGCCGACTGACTCCGAAGAGCCCCTCTCCTATACCTTCCGTATAGCTCCGTCCTTGTCGTACTTATGGGGCAGCTCTCCTTGAGCGCTCTTCGGAATCAGTCTGCAGTGCGTCGAGCGTCGTGGGTGTGGGCGAGGGG